TATGGAAATCAAGGACAAAAATAAGCATTCAGCATGGATCTACATAAAACTGACTGAGACAATGTGCAGCCCAGATCCACATCAATTTCAGTTTCCAAGTTCTAGTCCACAGCGCATCCCTAAACTCTCACTGCAGGGTGATAAGAACAAAAACAGCAGCATGAGTAATATTAGTGAATGGCAAACAGGCATATTAAGAGTGTATATACTATGCTGGCATTCTGCGGAGGGGGATAGGTTCTTAAATTTTAGAAGAAAGAAAATGTGTAATGGATGTTTATATTAGCATCTAACCTTTTTAAATGCATTTTTGGGCTACAAGTAGACCACTTTCACTGGCAAGCTTTGTCAGTTTGTAATGTTGCTTAGGAAGCATTTTTCAAAGAAATTAGGCTTTAATGAAAATACTCAGTGGAAATGCACTGGTGTCCTTGATATTAAATAGGAAGCAAACAAATAAAAGAAAAGGAAGACACTTCGCTGTCCTTTCACAAGTCTCTCTTTGCTTTTCAACTCTCAGTTCTTTGCCATGACAAGGGAAAAAAAGGCAGCTATTCAGTGACTCTCTAGGATTAAGGGGTTGAAAAGTCTGTCACAAATGTCATCATGTTCCCATTCAGGAAGAGGTAATGCATCGCTTTCTTCCTCCTGTCCTGGTTCTCACAGTTAGTCACACATAACATCAATATGCCTGGCAAGAGAAAAAAAGATAAAACAGTAGCTACAAAAGGGAGGATCAGTTATTTCAAAAGTTTTTTTTTTTTCCCTTTCTCCTGTGCCATCAATCTTTCATTATTTTCTTGGTTGGCTTTGTGATATGGAGTCCTTCAGGTTTTTGCAGGATGGAGAGGATCTCATTGTGAAAGGCTACAGTCTTATTGCAGATGGAGCACTGGGCCTAGAGTCAGAAAGAACTGGGTGTGAATCTCCACTCAGATGTTTATGTATATACTTCAGTTTCCTAATATTATGAAGAATTTCCAGAATGTTGGTGGCTCCTCTCTCCACATGTCTCTCCCAAAGAGTCTCTGAAGCCACATCTGTCTCTCTCTAAAGAAGCTCTGGCACCAACTCCATCTTTGTCTCAGGAGCACAGTATGGTATCAGCATTCTCTATACCAAAGGTGTCAAACTTGAGGCTGGCAAAACTCCTGAGTGGGCTTGTAGTTGAAGTCTATTACAGTGCTAATGGAGCAGACTTTCTTGAAGGACAGCCAGTGGTGCAGAGGATAGAATGAAGAAATCAAGAGAGCTAAGACTGCCATCCAGGCCTAGCTGCTTTGTTCTCCTTTCCAGTGCCCTTAAGCTTTAATTATTAATGCAGGTGCCACCCTGCATTAATGGAGGGTTTCTTCATCTGGGAGTCCTTACCAGTGAAACCTGAGATCCAGTCCCATACCCTTATCATAATGAATGTGGATTCCTTACTCTAGTAGTTTATATTTTTGGCTTTATCCTGAGTTTGATTGTTTCTCCTTGTTATTTATCTAATCTCTTTGAGTAATGTGCTCTTTGGTTTTGTAACCAGTACCAAATAGTTTCTTTGATTACTGCTTTATAAAATAGCTTGATAGAAAGTACTATGTCTTCCTCATTCCTACATTAAAAAAATTATTTCTCTTAATATTCTAGACCTTATGTTTCTCCAAATGAGTTTTATTATTATCTTGTTCAGTGCTATGAAATAACCCTTGGTTGTTTTATTAACACTGAATTTATAAATTTTAGTAGGTAGTATAATTTTTTTAAATGTTGGCATACCAATTATGAGCAATGCATAGTTCTCCAAAAATGTTGGAGAATCTATATATTTACTTTATTTATGCAAAAGTTATTTAGTAACTGCATTTATATAAATTTTGCGCATTTCTTGGTAGTATGACAATTCTGTATCATTTGTTCCCACTCTGTTTATTTTAAATAGATGTAGTAACAATTTTGTGGTTTTATTTTGTATCATTTCATTTTACTGAATCTGTTAAATATCTCATTTGTTTCTTTTCTGATTTTCTAGGGCTTTCTAAATAAATCAATTGTCATTTGCAAACAGAAATAATTTTGTTTCTTATTTACCACTTATGTCTTTAAATTTTTCTCTTATTTCTGTTGTTAGCATTTCTAGAATTCAATAAAATAATAGTAGAGGGTGTAATCTCATTTTAACCTCCTTATTTATTTTGAAAGCTTCTAGTATTTTCCCATTGCAAATAGGGCTAACATTTGGTGGTGATGTGATTGAAATTAATGTAAACTGAGAAACAAAGTTCTGTGTATATTCAGCTTATTGATAACGCTAGCAGTTACCAGTGAAAAGAGTCTTTAGCTCTTCAGCATGCCAGAAGACCCTGAATGAGGGCAGACAATGTTTTTCATTGACAAAAGGAGCGGCATCCCAAAATTAGAAGGCAGCATCATAGGTTGGGAAAACAATATAATTAGTTACAAAGCTTGTAGCATCACGGGCATGGGCTCCTGTGATTGACTGGAAATTGGGAATGCAGGGTAGCAACAAACCCATCTTGTGGTTACGGAAAGCTCATTGATGGTGTCTACCTGTGTGGCTAGTGAGTGTTAACAGTGATAATGGAGCAGACTTTCTTGAAGGACAGCCAGTGGTGCAGAGATAACAGACCAGATTCCTTGGCACCTACCTGCATCCTTCGGGGATAACATTTCCTTGACGCAAGAATAGAACAGTGATTAGCAGGAAAACTGAACTGATAAACTTAACTCAGAGAAAAAAGCTGAACTTCTGAAATTAATTCAGAGACAAACTTCACTTAACATATAAAATGTTGGCAATGATACAGAATGGAATCAATTACAAAAATGGAGACAATATCAATTTGTTTTTCTAGTATTAGATTTATACTTTTTACCATATTAGAAAAGGTCCCTTTAATGCTTTTGATTTTTAGTTTTTCTTCAGCATAAATGAGCACTGTATTTTGTCAAAGGCGTTTTCTGCAGGTATTGACATAATTCTGTGCAGTTGATTTTTAAAGTTTTCAAATAAACTTTTAGATCATGTTTTATTATTTATTCCTACTATAATTCTGTGTGTATTTGAAAATGATTTGTACTTCCTTGTTTTTCCATTAAATTATCTTCATGTATTTGCTGCTTAGCTTATTTTACCCTAAGATTTAGAGCTGGAAATCATCTAGTCTAACCTTCCCCCCTCCTTATTTTATATTTAAGAGGCAAAGATATTTGTGCAAGGATGTGTCGGTAGTAGTTGTGTAGTATTGGAATTCAGGTTTTTGACTTCACATATTATTCTTATGCTAAACCAGACTTATTCAGTGGTCAACTCTATAATTTGTTTATCTTTTTCTTGATTTATCATAATCTGATAGTATGAAATTGAAATGTTCACCTATTATTGATTTCTTATTCTAAAATTATAAGCTTCTCTTTGCAACTCTGCAAATGTTAGATACTACATAAATGCATTATTATTCATTTAGTTATAACTAACATTTGTATGGCACTTATTATGGACCAGGCACTGCACTGTATGCATTATCAATTATTGTCCCATTTGGATTTTCAAAGTGACTCTGGGAGGTAGGTGCTGTTATCATGCCCATTCTACATATGGGGAAAGTGAAGCAGACATGTTAAATGACTTGCTCAGGATCACAGAGCTAGTAAATGTCTGAGGCTGAATTTGAGCTCAGGTCTTTCTCACTCCAGTTCCAGAGCTCTCTTCATTGTGTTACCAGCTGCCTGTAACTCATCATAATAATGTAACTGTTCTGTTATTTGATAGGATTAAAGTCCTCTTGAATTTTCATCAGGCGTGCCACAAGTTTTGGCATTTAGTAACTTCTGGAAGTTTTGATTGTAGCTTGGTGATGCACCCTGACTATAGGACTTGCCTGTGTGAGTTCAGAGAGTATTATAAGGGGTCCCCACTTTTGCCTTCAGTTGTGATGTCAGATGGAAGCTTTTTGGATAAGAAATAGAAGAAGGCATCCCTCTCCTGCCCAGTTCCTACTGGGACAGGAGTGTTACACACATAGATCACAGGTTTGAGGGCACGAGTTTCCTTCATAAAATAGGTCAGGTCTCACTCTGGTCCCTAGAGAGTTAGCATTCCCCTCATTGACTAATTTTCATTTAAAAGAAAAAAAAAACTAAGTCCATAATTTTGCTGGTGTAGGGAGTTCCTGGTGAGATGTTCCCTCCAGTAGTGTAGATCAACAGCTCTTCTGCAACTCACATTCTTCAGCAGCTGCCTGGGTCACAGAAAAGTTAAGTGATTTGCATAGCTGGTATTTGTCAGGGGTAGAACTTGGACCCAGCTCTCCTGGACCCCACAGTTGGCCCTCCTTCCTCTGTGCCATTCTGACCCTTTGTTCTGTTGCTCTGTTCTGATAATCTCCACTAAATATCTTTCTCATTCTGCATGGTTATTTTGTGGGTCTGGCTTTGCTGGCTTCACATGGTGAAAAGATCCCCAGGAATCCTCGTGCCCTCATAGATTTGGGAATGTAGCAGATTAAATAGCTGGTGAAGTTTGGGGGTCAATTCTTCTTCTTATAGCTATTTCATTAACAGCTCCCTTGGCTGAAACACTCCTCTTGCCCTCCAAATAATTCTCATTTTCTTTATAACTGTTTTAGTGGACTCACCAAAGAGAAGAACCATTTTAAAAGCTTTTAGCTCCTTGCTTCAGATTATTTACCATCTTATTTCTCAATTCCTACATCTCTTAGAATCAAATAAAAACATATTTAGGCATATATATGAAAAATTACCTTTATTTATCAGCAGATAAAATATGAACTAATGAATGAAAAGTATGATCACACTTTTATATTTTTACCTTAAATATATTTCCCAAGTGTTTGTAGTTAATCCATTTATTCCTTTAACATTAAGTGTATAATTTGCTTTAAGAATGTTTGTGTCCAAATGTACAGTCAGTTCATGAAATTCAGAGAATTTTTTTATTTTGTGCTGATTTTGTTATCATTCCATCTTTGGTCTTGTTATCTGTTTTTCTTGTTCAGAACACACAGTGTGACACTTGCATGGCTATAACTGCGCCAACCACTGACAGCACTATTGTTGAAATGCTAACCCCACTAGGACTGGAAGAATCTTCTGAAGGAGGAATGGACTGAGATGCTCGAGCTATGTTCGATAAAGGTGATGTCAAGTTGACTTTATCAGCTGCCTTAATAGCAAGAAAGATGGTGGTGCCATTTTCTATTGTAAAATTTTCTGGTTTGAAAACAAAGACTTCCTTGGAGTTGGCATCACTTGGAATGAGGTCAGTAGTGTTCACTTGAAGAGCATTGTCGAAATCTTCTCTTAGTTTGATGATATCTTTACTCATTCTTATGATATACTTTTGAGCTAAAAAGAGAAGAGACTGTTGACTCAAGAGCAGGACCATGGGCCATGTTGGGCACATAGGGGTATTCACTGGGAAGTTTGTCAAACAGAGACCAGAAATAAGCCATATGGAAAAACTGGGCATGTGCCTCTGGGCAGTGTTTAATGTTATATAAGGACCTAACCAAACTGAATGGGTTTGAATCCCCACCTGTGTAGATAGTAGATGTCAAGTAGAGCTACCCCAAATACTGTCCTTACTTTGTCTTCAAAATCATGGCTAAAGAAAGACCTGTAGAGACTGTAATTCTGGGATCATGGTCATCTGTCTCCTGCTCTCAGACCCTTCCCACACACGTGCTATGAATAAGATGTGGGTTAGATCTTGGAATTATTTCCTTGTCAGCATTTCAAGTTTAACTTGGATTTTTCAGGGCTCAGTTAAGAGAAACCTTTTATTTCAGAGTTCTGGAATGGCTTTTTTTTTTTTTTTTTTTTTTGGGTGAGGCAATTGTGTTAAGTGACTTCCCCGGGGTCACACAACTAGTAAGTATCAAGTGTCTAGTCTGAAACCAGATTTGAATTCAAGTCCTCCTGACTCCAGGGCTGGTGCTGTATCTACTGCACTACCTAGCCACTCCTGGAATGGCTTTTTCTTAAATTAGGTATTGTTGATTTAGCTAAAGAGCTTTAAGAGTTTAAAATCACAGTTTTTAGAATCTGTTAATTTTATTCTTTTAAAGCCAATCTCTCATTTTTTTTTCCTTTTCTGCATTGCCAGTATGAACCTTTTGTCTCTGAGTCAAAACTAAGGGGCACACTTACCTCGTCCGTTATCATAGTCATCCCCAGGGGCTGTCCAGGTCAGATTAATGTGATCATCTTCAATATTAGCCTCCAGGTCGAGAATTTGATTTGGTGGGAACACATCAGCTATACAGCCACTTGTAATATTTGATACTATAAATGAACCTCCTAAAGCTGTTCTGCTGAAACTTTGCATGTTTGCTTGAATTTCATCTTCACTAATTTCAGGTTTTGGTGGATTCATTTTGATTTCACCTGAATAGAGGGAAAGAAAAACACTAATAGCCTTGTCCTTGATAGTCAATTCCACACAAATGTTGTGTCTTTCTGTTGTTTATTATCCTAGCACCTAGCCTAGGCAGCTAGGGGAATCCATAATGCACAGAGAGGTGGGCCTGGAGTTAGACCTACCTGAGCTTAAATGTGGCCTCGGACACTTACTAACTATTTGACCCTGGGCAAGTCACTTAACCGCTGTCTGCCTCAGTTTCTTCAACTGTAAAATGATGATGATAATAGCACCTACTTCCCAGGGTTGTTGTGAAAATAAAGTGAAATAATATTTGTAAAATGCGTAATGCATAGTAAGTGCCATATAAATGTTAGCTATTATTATCATTATCATTATTATCATCCTCATCATCATCCTCATCATTATTATTATCTCACTGTCCTCTTATCATCCTATATATTCAGTCATTTTTCTTCTGAATAAAGCCATTACTTGCATGGGACAAACAGAGTGTTGATCCAGGATGTTTATATCCAGGGGAACATGCTTCTTCCCCAGATGGATGTACTTCCTTCTTGGGAGGGCAAGCTTCCTCCACATAGTCTGCTGTCTCTAAACCTCTTGTGTCTCCACTGTGTGGCACAACCAACCCCACACTGACACTGCCAGGGCAGTCACCATGGTGCCCCTTTTCTATCTTTTTCTCTTAATGCCCATGGGACAGAACTCTATGGGAGACAATCTCCACATCTCCTGATACAACTACATCCACTGATGGACTGTTGTCTGTTGTGTTATCATACCCCACTATACCCTTCGGCCCCAGTGGTTTTTGCCCAAGGAGAGAATTCTTGTTGAAAGCTGCATTGGCTCTGTGGCAAGGTGACCCAGAGGTGGAGAAGAAAAAAGAAGACAGCATTTTGGCTGATGAACCCCTGGGAATTTCAAGGATATGAAAACTCATTAAAATCTGTTGTTTGTAACAATTATTTTGTTGGCATGGACCCTAGAATGAGTATGATTGCTGATATCCCCAGGGCCAGTTCAGTATCATTTATTGTTATTAATAGCCATACCATCCACTTTCTGTTGCTCAGAAACCTTATATTGGCCAAGCCATCACCCAGGGCAGATCTTCCTTTGCCCATTTTTCCGCTAGTTTGACCTAATAACTCCCTGTTCCCCTTCTGTGGGTGGGTGAGTGTGGAGTGGCAAGAATTGACCTTATTTTGATCAGTGTGGGTAAATGTAAACTACAACACCAAGGTTGCAATAAAGCAATTAAAAGTATTCTTAAATAGACTAGACTTCCTCAGTGGATTGCTCCATCACTAGAGATCTTTAAACAGAGGATGGAGACAGTATGTTGTAGAGAAGACTCTTGCTCCAGGAATGGGTTGGTCTGGAAGGCCGTGGATATCCCTTCCCATTCTGAGATGCTGTGATACTTAGCCATCACCTTTTTACTTCTACCCAAATATTTGTGTCTGTGGACAGTACTGGATTATTTAAGGCTTACAAATCTGATTCTTCTACCAGTTACAGATACAGTGGGACTGATCCTTGTGTTATATTGGTCTGTTGAATTTTCTATGTAGGACAGACATACTGGACTTGCAGTAAGATGCACTTGGTAGGTAGCCTCTCCATTGCAGAATTGCAGAACCTCAAAGTTGCGAGGGACCCAAATGGCCATGTAGCCCATATTATGTGAAAAGAGCCTCCCTCTTCAACAAACCTGAATAGTCATCCAGACTGGACTTGAAGTTCTTCAGTGATGGAGAGCCATTTAGTGAGGAGAAACTCTTCTTGTTGAGGCAGCTCATTTCACTATGGGAGAGCAGAAGGTTTTTCCTTCTACATAGCCTAAATCTTCCTCTTTGCAACTTGTACCCCCTGAGCCTGGTTCTGCCCTCCGGGGTGAAGCAGAACAAGTCTAATCTCTCTTCCTTGGGAGATCCCTTCAACTACTTGACAGATAAGTCTTCTGTTCTCTGGGCTAAATAGCCCCAACTCCTTCAACAAGTTCCGTAATGTATGAAAAATCTTTAGTTTAATATCCAAGATGTGTCAAAATTCAATTAGATCCCCTCTTGCCCTTGATTCAAGACAGAACCTTATTTTTGTTACACGAGGTTCCTTACCATTCTCTACCCAGCCTGGTATGTATAAGGCTCCATTCACTTGGGGTCTTGACCTTTGGGTGTTTGCTCCTTGCAGAGCTCTCACTTTTAAGCTATATCGACCATTTGTTTTGTAGGCTGTGAAATACCTTGAGTAGACACCATCATTCTTGTAAGCATCAGCACCTTTGTGTAAAAACAAAGGAGTTAATAAGCAGTGCCATAATTAATGAACATATAATTCCTCAAAAATACACTTGGACATTGGAAGGTAATAGTAGATACTTCCGTGTGTGTGTGTGTGTGTATGTGAATGTATTCCTCTGTTCCATTTCTACACACAAATATGCATATTTATAAAATACTTGAGAGTTTTCAAAGCTTATTACAAACATCATCTCTTTGGAATTTCCCAACAACCCTGTAACGTAAGTACTTTAACAGTGGTGTGCTAGAGTCAATTTGTGCTAGAGATAGCTGATTGTTCAGTTTTCAGTGTGAGTATTCACACCTGGGAAATATCTGCAAGTTAGAGTTTGATTTATTGTTTGGTTGATTGTCTAGATTTAAGAAAGTGATGGAGATTAAACTTAGAAGAGTGTTGTGTGTACTTTTCCCTCCCAGAAATCCTGTTCCTAAACATTTACCAGCACACCTCAGATGAAAAATATTATTGTACCCATTGTACAAATGAGGATACTGAAACTTAGATCAGTTAAGTGACTTTTCCACAGTCACTAGTGTAAGAGGCAGGATTTGAACCCATGTCCCTTCCTTCTCTCTCAGTCTCCAGATCCAATCATTTGCCAAGTCTGGTCAGTTCCACTTCAGCGTCATCTCTTGCATCAATCTCTTTTTCTCTACTCATCCAGCCTCTCCCTAATTCAGGCATTTGGATGATTATAAGAGCCTCATAATTGGTCTTCCTGCCTCCAGTGTCATCCCTCTGCAATACTCCTAAAACATAGATCTGAATATGTGATCTCACTGTGCAAAAATCTTCAGCTTCCCCCTATTACCTCTATAGAAATTTTATCAGTCTTTTAAATCCCTCCTTAATCTGGCCCCCACCTGCCTTTGCAGTATCATTTTCTATTACTCCCTTTCATGTGCTCTCCATTCCAGTCAGACTGGCGGGCTAACTGTGCCGTATACATATCCTTCAATCTCTCACTTCTCTGCCTTTGCTTAAGTGACCCACTGGCCTCCCAGTTTCCTCACCTCTGATTCTTGGAATCCTTAGCTACCTGCAAAGCATAGCTCAGATCCCATCTCCTCCACAAGGCCTTTCCAAATTCCCCTTATTTGTTAGTTCCTTCCCTATCCTCTTCCACACCCAAAGTACTTTGAATTTACCTTGCATATACTCTGCCTTTACCTATCTGTGCCCATGTTGTATTCAGCCTGTTTGATTTTAAGTTCCTTGAGGGCAAGGATTGCTTACTCTTTGTTAATGTATCCCTAGCTTCTAGCATTGTGCCTTACCTTAGTAGCAGTTTAACAAATGCCTCTCAAATGCACACATTTTTATTAAATGGATACCACACATAGTGCCAAGAGGGTCCCTTTCCCATAGTGCACAGATATTTCAAGGAGTAGAGGAGACATCATTGCTGAAGGCTGTCTGCATAGCCCATTCCCTGGAGGGGATGTATTGGGGACAGAGGCAGGGTGGTACTGATGTTTGGGCAGTGTGATATTGTCCTTCCTCCCAGGGATCATGGAAAAATTTGGGAGCCACTGCTGTCAAGTATTTCCCTATAGTTTAATGACTTTGAATTTGCCTTTTACCAAATACCTTTTAAATTTGTTTGATATCTGATTACAGTCTTCTGTGGGCTCTTCTCTACTCTGCTATAGGGGTTCACCTAACCCAAGTTACTGGATTTCTTTGTGATCTAAAGGAGAGCCTTGATTGCTTTTCATAGGTTATACACTTTCCCTATAACTAAAAGATTCTTAGCTATCTTTGTTAGGTAAGCGGGGGACCACTTAATGTTTCCAAGTAAACTGTCTTCCTGGACCTCAAGCCTTATGCTGACATTCATTCCATTCAATTCAGTAAGCTGGAGACATTAATAGGAAGGAAACAGACCCTGTCCTCAAGTAGATTACATCTAGCTTGAAAGACACAATTCAAACCAAGATAAATAGTGGAAAGGTCAATAAAAAGTCTGTACTAGGTAAATACCAAGGAGTTTGGTGGGGAGAAGATTAGAGAGGGAAATAGCTTTTAGGGGAAATCAGGAGAAATCTTGTGTAGGAGATGGTACCTGATTTGTATTGTAAAGGAATCTAGGGATTCCAGAATCAAGTGAGGAAGGAACAGATTCCTTATTCATGAAAGGGGATGGGGAAGAAAACTTTTGCATAGGCCCAGAATTCCTTTCAAAGGGCATAAAGCATGTTTTTCATGGATCATGAGCTGGAAGGAATCTTTGGTTTCATTGAGTCTGGTCTCTTACTTTACAGTTGTAGACACTGAGATCTAGTGGGATTGTGACTACCCAAAATCAAACAGCTAATAAGTTTCAAAAGTGAATGACCAATGCTCTTTTCATTAGATCATGCTAATTTTCATTTTATTTTGTTAAGGTTTTTAAATATAAAAGTTATGAGCCTGACTCTTCCCTTTTAGCATGAAAAGGTATTAATGATTTCCTCTCAAGAGTGTCACTCATGCAGATGTTTTAAAGAAAATACTAGCAAGGAGATTACATCACTATATGCCAAAGAGCATATACTATGACTAGATGAGATTTATACCAGAAATGCAGGACTTGTTCAACATTAGGAAAACTGTCAGCATAACTGACCATATCAATAAGAAAAATAACAAAAATCATATGATTGTCTCCATAGATGAAGAAAAAAGCTTTTGATAAAATACAATACTCATTCCTTTTAAAAGCACAGGAAAGTATAGGAATAAATGGAGCTTTTCTTAAAATGACAAGTAGTATTGATCTAAAACCGTCAGTAAGTAAGTATCTGTAATGGGAATGAGCTAGTAGCCTTGTCAGTAAGATAAGGGGTGAAGCAAGGATGCCCATTATCACTGCTGTTATTCAGTATAGCACTGGAACTGCTAGCTATAGCAATAAGAGAAGAAAAGGAAATTGAAAAAGTTAGAATAGTAAATGAGGGGAAAACAAGTGCTCTTTGCAGGTGATATAATAGCATATTTAGAGAATCCTACAGAATCAGCTAAGAATGTTGTTGAAATAATTAACAACTTCAACAATGTTGCGAGATATTAAATAAGCCCCCATTAATCATCAGCATTTCTATGTATTATCAACAAAGTCCAGCAGCAAGAGATAGAAAGAGAAATTCCATTTAAAATAACTGCAGGGGGCAGCTAGATGGCGCAGTGGATAGAACACCGGCCCTGGATTCAGGAGGATCTAAGTACAAATCCAGCCTCAGACACATAACACTTATTAGCCGTGTGACCCTGGGCAAGTCACTTAACCCCATTGCCTAGCCGCCCCCCCCAAATAAAATAAAATAACTGCAAATAATATAAAACACTTGGGAGTCTACCTATTAAGAAAAACTCAGGAACACAATTACACAATTATACAACTACAAAACACTTTTCACACAAAGTCAGATCTAAACAATAAGAGAAATACTAATTGCTCAGGGTGGTCCAAGCCAGTATAATAAAAATGACAGTTCTACCTAAATTAATTTACTTATTCAGTGCTGTGCCAATCAAACTACCAAAAATTATTTTTTAGAATTAAAAAAAAATAACAGTTCATCTGGAAAAGAAAAGGTCAAGAATAACAAGGAATTCAATGAAAAAATTGTGAAGGAAGGTGGCCTTATTGTACCAGATCTCAAACCAGATTACCAAGTGGGAATTATCAAAACAATCTGGTATTAGCTAAGAAATAGAGTGGTGGACCAGTGGAATAGGTTAGGTACACAAGACACAGTGGTAAATGACCATAGTCATTTAGTGTTTGATTAACCCAAAGACCCTAGTTTCTGGGACAGGAACTCAACATTTGACAAAAATTGTTGGAAAAACTGCAAAGCCATTTGGCAGAAAGAAGGTATATAGACCAACATCTTACACCATATACGAAGATAAGGCCAAAATGAGTACCTGATTTAGACATAAAGAACAATAACCTGAAGAGATTAGGGGAGCATGGGAAATTTTACCTTTCATATCAACGGATAAGAGAAGAATTTATGACTAAACAAGGGATAGAAAGGATCAAGAGAATTAAAATGGAAAATTTTGATTAAGTAAAATTAAAAAGTTTTTGCACAAACAAAATCAATGCTGCCAAGTTTATAAAGAAATCAGAAAATTGGGGGAAAAATTTACAGCAAGTATCTCTGATAAAGGCCTCATTTCTCATATATAGGGAAATGAGTCAAATTTATAAGAATACAAGTCATTCCTCAATTGATAAATGGTCAAAGGATACATGAATAGGCAGTTTTCAGATGGAGAAATTGAAGTTATCTATAGACATATGAAGAAATGCTCTAAATCATTATTGTAGAGAAATGCAAATTAAAACAACTTTGAGGTCCCACCTCACACCTATCAGCTTGACTAATATGATAGAAAAGGAAAATGATAATGATAAATGTTGAAGAGGATGTGGGAAAATTGGGACACTTACGCATTGTTGGTAGAGCAGTGAACTGATCCAACCATTCTGGAAAGCAATTTGGAACTATGGCCAAAGGGCTATAAAACTGCATGCCCTTTGATCCAGCAAATACTATTAGTAGGTCTATATCCCAAAGAGATCATAAAAAAGGGAAAAGGACCTATGTGCACAAAAATACTTGTAGCAGCTCTTTTTATGGTGCCAAAGAACTAGAAATTGAGGGGATGCCCATCAGTTGGGGAATGGCAGCACAAGTTCTGATATATGAATGTAACGGAATACTATTGTGCTATTAAAAAAAAGGTGAGCAGGGAGATTTCAGGAAAACCTGAAAAGACTTACATGAACTGATCCAAAGTGAGGTGAGAAGAACCAGGAGAATACTGTACACAGTAACAGCAACATTGTGTGATAATCAGCTATGCTTGACTTAGCTCTTCTCAGCGATACAATGATCCAAGACAGTTCCAAAAGACTCATGTTGGAAGATGCTATCCATATCCAGAGAAGGAACTGCTGGAGTCTGAATGCAGATCAGAGCTTACTATTTTCACTTTCTTCATTTTTTTCATGTTTTTTTTTTCTTTTGCAAATTGTAATTTTTTGCAAACTCTTCTTTCACTACATGACTAATAGATTTTACGTGATTGCATACATATAATGTATATCAAATGCCTTACTATCTTTGAGAGGTTGGAGGGGAGGGAGGGAGAAAATTTGGAACTCAAAATTTTATAAAAAATATTAAAATTATCTTTACATGTAAAGCAGAAAAATATTATTAAAAAATTAAAAAGTATCATACTTCTTTCTTGAAAGAGAAAGAACTCTAAGGTTTTTATGGGTTATAAGTTACCTGCACCATTATCTAGAAGTTCCAGAGTCACTGTTGTGCCATCAGCTGATTCAATGAGGGCTGTTACAGTGGCTCCTGTGATAGGCAGGGATCCTTGGCGAACTTCTGCATAAACAACCATTGGATTAGGGAAGGTGTTGGTGTCTTTATTCATTTTAGAATCCACTGTAATGGGGGGTACATTAGGATTTGCAGCACGAGAAGTTACTGTCAGAGTCAGAGTTTGTGCACTTGACGTAAGGCTGTAAGTCCAAATTCCATCCTGAAAAATCCAGTACAAATTCATTAAAGCAAAACAGTGTTAAGACCTGCCCTACCTGCCTTCTCTGTTATCCATTGTCTAGATTAACATCTTATCCGATTTATACACGTGAAGTTCAAGAAAATCATCTGCTAGAGAGTTTGTATGACTTTGCTTCTCTATTAGCTGTGACAATCATTTCAAAGCATTCTTCCCTAGGAATGCAGCATCTAGAATAGAGCTTTCCCTGGGATTTACATACTACTGATTATTTTTGAAACATTTGCTATGAAAAATGTGATTTGAAAGGTTTGCCCCTGCCATAGTCCTTTCTTCTCAGAAGCAAGGCAGATTTTGGATGTCAGAACACATGTGTTTTAAAATTCTGGATGGGGAAATGGGGTATCATAAGTATGTTTACACCAATCAGAAAAGGTTCCATGACTTCCTGGCTTGCCCACCTAACCTCCCTTGTGTTCTAGCCCAGATTTTGCCTTCCTGATACTCTTTATAACAGTTCCTTTGTTGCTACAGTATGATTTTTTAAAGCATTTTTAAGCATTTTTTAAAGCATTTTTAAAGCATTTTTTAAGCATTTTTAAACATTTGACCATTATTGTGGTCAATTCATCACATTTTAAGAGAACATGTGGAATAAGAGTGTATTTTTTTTTTAGTAAAAAAAATTCTTCTTGTCACTCCAAAATAGTTACAGAGTTATAATACTGATGTTAAAATCTTGGTTCCATTTTCTGAAAATCTTAAGAACCCAAAACAGAAAAAGCTCCTCACCTTGGCAGTGTTTGGTATTTGGAGGTATGCCATTTTGAAATTTGCATCCACTGAAAAATTATCATAGGTTTTCCCACTGGGGTCTGAGACAAACATTTGGGGTTGTTGTTCTGTCCATGTGACAAGAAATAGTGTGTCATTGCCTACTGTGTTGTCAACAATAATTGTGCCATTCATCCACTCCCCATTACTCAGAGTGGCTCCCGTACTCTCAAGCTGTTAAGAAAATACAACAAAACATTTAGTGACTGGGCAAAGGAATAAGTCATCCACAAGTCATAGTGTAGTTATTCTGAAGGACATGCCAATGGACAAAAGATTATAAGTTCCAGAGAAGTAACCAGCATGCATTGGTAGAGGGAGTTTCCTTACCTGAAGTTCCCTAAAACAATTAAATTAGAGGCCCTTTTCCTATCAGTCTGGTTAGCGTGCATTGGAGATAGGATGGTCAAGAAAGGAGACAAGTGTCATAGTTATACAGACGTGCATGAATAATATTCCTGGCACAAAGGACATGAAAGGCAGGGCTAGAATGAGATCCCTTATTTTTAGCCCAAGGTAATATTCAAGTTTCCCTTATTCACTCTCTCTCCCTCCCTTCTTTTTTCTACTCAACTTCCCTTCTAAATCAAATTCCCTCCATTGTGAGTGGGGAGAGAATAAAACTGTAGTCTCAGCCAGGTTCTTAATTCAGCTCCTTGATTTTGAGTCACCTTCTCAGCGGTGAAGACAGGCAGGATTTTTGCTGACTAGAAGGAACATCTTGAGCAGAAGCACAGAGGTTTAGAGTAGTCTCACTGCCCACAAGGAGCTCACATTCTGACTAGGGCTGGGAGCAACATTAAAAAAAAAAAAAAACAAAACAAAACTGCGTAAAGATACATACCAGTACAAATGGAAGATAATCTGAGAGAGATGGCGTCAGCAGATAAAGAATCCAGATTTCTTTCCACTGAACCACCCTGCCTTATTGGTCTGGCCTGGCCTGGTCCTGTTGTCCATTTATTCCTCCCAATTACCTCATTCTCCCACTCACCACAGAGGCTGCTCCAAACCTTTTCATCTCTCCTTAAGCCTCCATTGATTCCTTCTGAAAATCTTGCCTCATTCACTGGCAATAATTGAGGTCTTTCTCTGAGAGCTCCTTTTCCCCAATCTTCCTTTTTATTTCATATCTCCCATATGCCTTCTATCACCATATGCCTTCTATTACCTCAGAGGTCCTTCTAAACTCTAATCACTGATCCTAGAATGCTATGATCCTATATAACACAAACATGGGAAAGGAGAAATGGAAACTGACCTGGATGGACCGTTGAGTGATCAGTCCATTTCCTGATGAGAGGGCACTGAATGCATCAATGAGCCCATTGCTCTGGGTAGTGTCTGTAGAAAATGTCTTCACACCTCCTAAAGTAGGATTATATTACCAGAAATTAAATAATTGGCACAGGTTAGTGACAAATTAACAGTCTTACCAAAGTCATTCTTTCATAAAGTTTCATATTGTTTCATAAACTGCAGTCATTCTACAACCAGTAAAATTGCAGCTTCACTCTAGGAGGTCAATGTAAAATTTTGAGTCTTGTGTATAAAGTATACATTATACAATCATTAAAGTCATTTACCTGGAACACAACCAAAGCCTTGGGAAGACATAAAAATTACTGATGAGGAGTCAAAGAAGTGTCACAGAATCCATGATCTAAACCAGTTCATGTATTTAATTCATAATTGAGCTTCTTGGATCCTCACTACTTCAAGAATCATCAATTCAACTATGTAGGGACTGCCTCTACCAAAGCTGACTATAACCCCTCCAATGCCTTAGTAGATGTTTCTGTGGCCAGAAAAATCCATTGCTTAGTGGACAATCTTCTGGTGAATTGTCTTTCCAGCTTTAGCAATGTTGGTCAATTCAGTTCAATTAGACCAACATTCATTAAGCCCCTACTCTATGTCCACTACAAAGAAACAGTCTCTAACCCTCAAGGATCATACTTTCCCTTTTGGAGTTGGGAGTGAGGCTAGAGAAGCTATAAGTACACAGGTAAGTAAATTCTGGGGAATGAGAGAAGAGCTCCTGGAACAATGGACATAGCACCCAGAGCCTTTCCATCTTAATGGTGCCCTCAGTGGCACAGCCATTGAGACCATATGGTCACCTTCTGAATGAGGGATCAGAATAGGACTTTTATAAAGGACTTACTCTGATTTCAAGCAAAATTTAATAAGCTTGATTGGACTTGCAGCCCACAACTGAAAATAACAAATTAGATGAATGATGAGGAAAAAGGAAGATGGGTACTGCTAAGGCAGCCACATTAGTAGCATCAGGATAGGACAGTGTGACATCAAGGGAGGGGATGAAATTTTATAAAAAAGAAACAAGAAATCAAAGAATACACTAGCCAGGGAAGCAGGGTTTGATTGAAAATCCTAGTCTGGTTTCTGGCCCTGGTCAACCATTCATAGCCCTGTAATCTCACATGAGTTCCTTCTTCTCTTTGACCTTTGACTTCTGTGATTAATGGACAAGGTGCTAGACCCTAAGTCAGAAAGGACTGGTTTAAATACTGCCTTTGACATATATTCTTATTAGAATTGTCATATAATCTGTCTGTGCCTCTCTCTCCTCATCTGTAAAATTAAGGAGTTGGAATAGATCCATGATTCTATTAACCAATGACTAAATGGTCTCTAAAGATCACTTGTGTATGAGCAAACAGACCCATATACACAAATGTTTAACAACTGGCTTATCAAAACAGTATATATTCATGACACACTTTAAAGTGAAACCACCATTATGAACATTTTCTCCATGTCTTTCTTAAGTGTAGAAATCAATAAAACAAAAAATCAAGGCCTGATTTGTAGCATTTGCTGATTTGTGAGGTGTAAATATTTCCAATGAAAATTCAACAATGGGCTCTCACAAGCTGGTACAATCTGGCTCTAGTGTACCCCTTCCTATGTACCTTAGTAGTACAATATCATAACTGATGATGTTGAGCCATCAATAGAAAGGTTCAGGGAGCTCTGATTAGTAATTTAGGGAAATGCATACTATATCTTAGATAGTTTTTCATCCAAATTGGTTCAAATTGAAAAGCAGTCCCTCAAAGAGGCAAGCTTTAGTTGTCTGGAAAGTTTACTCATTCCCCAATGATGCTGACAGGCATTGATTGACTTAAGACAGTCAAGCACTACTTTATTCAGTATCTGCTTCTTATTTCTCCTCATTAAGGGAATGATTTGGCCCTTGGATTAGGAATAACAAGTCAAATCCTTTTGGCATCTTCTTGTCCATGTCTCATTCTCTTCCTCATCTCCCATTAAGACAGTTAAGTGATGATGGCAGTGACTGTGTCATTTTTCATCTATTTGTTTACCCACAATTCCTAATACAGTGCCTTAAATGTAGTGGGCTCTGAATAAATGGTTGCTGAATTTGTTCAAATTGAATTCAATATTTTTGTTGTGGTCTTTGAAAAACCCGAGAGACCACAAAAGTATGACCATTTGTGGGAAGATTCTTTTCTTGGATATAGGTTAGACTAGATGGTCTTTGATGGACCTCAAAGGCCAGCTTTGAGATGCTGTAATTCTATCATTGGGTAGACAACCTTTGAGACTTATTTTAGGAAAAAAAATCATCCCAGAGCAAATATAGAGATGAATCTCTCTCTGAATGTGGCTCAGCATGTCCTCAGATGACAGATGTTCAGGCTATTGTTGGACTTTATGTGAAGTCTCTCCAGTTTGGTAAGAACAGTCATTTTATTCCTTTCCCACCTGGCTGCCCTCCTCAGAACATCTCCATCCTGCCCCAGGAACCTCATCAACCTCCAAGTTCACTTCAGTTCTGGAACTTGAACTTCATTGGTCTCCCCTGCCCCAGGGGCTCCTCCCCCTCTCTGATTGGAGGGGATGGAGTATGGAGGGCAGAAGGGGCAGAGCAGAGAGCTTCTCTTGTATGTTCAGTTCAAGTGAGGTGCCCTAGCCAGTCATCTCTTCATTTCCCACCAGGCTTCACTCCTCTGCACTCCATCACACTCCTGCTGTGGGTACACTTTTCTCCCCTTCCCCCTTTCAGCTCCTTTTTGTAGGTTATCTTGCCCCCACTGCAAATGGACTTGAGCTTCATGAAGGTAGAGACTTGCTTTTGCCTTTCTTTGTGTCCCCAGCACTCTGTACCATACCTGGCACATGGTGGGCACTTAAATGTTTATTGACTGAACTTCCACAGTCTGTGCCCCACCTACATAGCCTTTAGAAACCCCTGGTCACCTGTGGATCTTAGAGGAGAAATTGAGGGGAGGTTTATATAGAAATAATTTTTGTGTCTATTGAAGAAACATATTCTCCAGGTTATGTTTACCTGTCATGTCTGACAGTTTCTCCAGCTCTTTGGCTGCAGAAGTTCCCAGAGCAACTGTGTGGATAATGGCCCCACTTTGTTTCACTTCATCAAAACATGTGCTGATTGTATTGTCTTCCCCATCAGTCAGAAGGACGATTTCGGAACCATCTGTTGAGAATTTCTTTCCTATTACCTGAAAGCACATATTCACCCCAAACATTGGTAAGCAGACTTAGTGTTATCAGGTAACCCTGAGTGAGTGGATATGGCCAGGAATGAAAGAAGAAAATAAAGGAAAGACCCCAGGAATCCCGGGAGGATTTTCCTGCCTTGAAATTTTCAAATATGAAATGTATAACTTTCAGAAACTCAGTCCAAGCTCCTTTTCTCTTGATCTAATCCAGGAAATTTGTCACAGCTGATGCTGCCAGTGGGAAGCAGAGCTGCTCTGGTGAAACTGAGTGACCCAGCTTCTGCACACTGGTATTCAGTCCCAGCCAGGGTATCGGTTCTTTGTGGCTCTAGCACACGTTGAGGCTGATGAGACACTGGACAGATGAAGACCCACTATGTGCATGGAATTGTTTTGGATTCTTTCGTTATTCCTGGGAGGGCTAGAGAGGAGGAAGCTTAGGAACCTTAGAGGAGACATGATATGGTGGGAAGAGCCTGAGGCTCTGTGGGTCTCAGTTTCCTCATCTGCAGAAGGAAGAAATAGGTGGCCTGTGAGGTCTCCTCCAGCTCTAACTCTGTGCTCCTGTGCTCCCTCTGGCCTGCTTTATTTGGCTAATACCCTTCATAATAAAGAGTGTTCTCCAACAGAGGCTTTGGAAAACCGTGCTCTACATGAGCTGCCAAACTGGCCACTCTGAAACACAGGCATGACTAATAACCCTCAATTCAGGGAGTAGTATACAAATCCTGGGGTAGGAACTCCCTCCACTAAACCAGATGATAAGCCTTAGGGAGTTGTCTGAGATACTTTGATATTCAATGACTTGTTCAGGGTCACAGCTAAAATGTTCAGTAGCAGAAGTTGAGCTTGGGTTTTTCTCAATATCTGTGAAGCGATGCTGACTTTACAGTAAACATTATATATTCTAATACACCAGTGGATCTGGAATTCCATCTATGTGAATATCCCCTCCAATGATGCAAATCATAATCCATCCAATTCTGCCCATCTTATCTATATGAGGCTGGTAGGTAGGGCAGTGGAGAGAGTTGGGCTTAAGTTCAAATCTGACCATCCTAGTTGTGTGATACTGGGCAAGTCATTTAACCTCAGTCTGCCTCAGTTTCTTCATCTGTAAAATGTGGCTAATAGTACCACCTTCCTCCCAGGGTTATTGTGAGGATCAAATGAGATAATATTTGTAAAATGCTTAGCACAGTGCCTGGCACTTAAGAAATGCTTATTACCTTAACTACCTGTATGACTCTTTTCTATATTCTTCTGCTTGTTTACCACAAGGAAGCCATTCAATGTGCTGGGGGCCTTCCTTGAGTTCTTGAGACATTGGGATGATACCAGTGGAGCACAAAGGCTGCTACTCCTAAGTGTACCTGTGTGATCAGGGCATTTGATCATAATAATGATTGGCATTTACATAGTGCTTTCAAGTGTGCAAAGTACTTTATGTCTGTGATCTCATTTGAGCTTCCCGTTGATGCTATGAAGTATGTACTAGTACTACAGGTACTACTATCTACGTTTTACAAATCAGGAAATTGAGGCTCAGGGTGGTTGACTGATTTGCCTGCAGTCGTTATGGGATCAGAAGCAGAGTTGAACACAGGTTTCCCACACACTGAGACCAATACTCTATTCACTGTGCTCATTGCCTCTTATGGAGAATATCATGCAATAGAAAACAATATATTTATTAGACGTAAGTATTTAATTTTTGTCAAAGTGGCCCTACTCTAGATGTTTCCATTGTTTGAAATTGCCCCATGTAAAAAACCCCTTAGATGTGAAGATTTTTTGTTTAACCACAATCTCATGTACTTCCACATCTCACTCACAGACACTCCTCCTAACCCTGCTCTTTTTCTGTGCTGTGCCCTCTTAACTCTTAATCCCTCTCTGACTTCTCTATCCAATGCTCAGCAATCTCTTGCCCCTTTGCCTTTCCACTGTCATCATCCTGTTACTCGCCAACACTGACTAACTCTCAACACATCTGCTTCAGCTCCTGAGCAATGGAGGACTGGGACATAAAGTCCTGAGACAGTGGTCCCCCTAGGAATGTATGCTACATGCACTTCAACCAGACCTTTGCTATGTTTGTTGCAATTACTCTTTCTTGATTCTCTAGCACATCCCTCATAGCATCTGTTCCAGCCATTTTCTTAACTCTCTGAGACCAGCTTCTCATCCATATCTCTCAACTCCCAGCACATGACATCATCTCTTACTTTGCAGAAAAAGTCAAAGCCATCTGCCATGTTTTCTGGTCTTTCACCTATTTCCTTCCTCCTTTATAAGAGGAAACTGTACTTACTATAGAAATGCCATATGTGGTATGTCCAGTTCCCATCCACTAACTTACCTTTTGTTTCTTTCAGCTCCCTCATTGGTAAAATGAGGCAGCTGGGATGCAGGATCACTAAGATAATTCTATCATTTCATTTCGCATCAAGGACAACAATCTTCAGACAGAATTAGTGCATCAAAATGTGGAAAATCCTCCATAATAGGAGTCAAAAAATCAATTCATCATTCTTTGTCTGTGTTATAACATCCCCCTAGTGGATAACTAGCACCTCCTTGTCTCATTGTGTTCAAATAAATAACAGAAATATCTGGCTTTGCCAGAATGGAGCCCAGATTCAAGATCATTGCACCTGGTTGCCCCAGATGCTTCTGCTGCATGCCATGCACCTTTTTATATATCATACACAGTGCTTTTCTCATTGGTTCTATAATTGCACAGCCTGTATGGGTTAGAGAAATATAGATTTAGAGTTAGAATGGACCTCAAAGGTCATCAACTACATTCCGCTTATTCTACACATGAGGAAACTGGAGCCTGCACATATCAAGCATGCTGCCCAGGGTCACAAGGCTAATAAGTTTCTGAGGAAGAATTTGAACTTGGCTCTTTCTGACTCCAAGTTGAGAGTTCTATCCACTATTACTTTGTTGCCTCTCAGGAGGGACTTGAGCCCAAGTCTTCCTGGGTCTAAGGTTGACTTCCTTCCTTCCTTTCTTCCTTAGTTCAGCTCTAAGTGCTTACTATTTGTTGGGCTGAATTTAATTAGGATTTCTCCACATCTCCATTTGTTGATATTCTTTCCCTTCCCTGGAAATACATTCAGTTTTTAGAGACATCAAATTCATACTAGACAGTAGGCAAGTGAGGGACATTCAGAATAGGAATTCACTTTTAAAATATCCACGACAATAGAGACAGTGGGGGGGAGATGATTTCACCGTGAATGCTGATCTGAGTCCAGAGCAGATGGATGTTCCTCCTGAGGCGACAGCAGGTAGCTTGCTAATGAGAGTGTCCCTCTGAGCATCGGTCTCTATCTGTACCAGTTCACTTTGGACGGAGGCTGCACTGTCAAATGTGACCATCCCAACCCAGGATGCTTTTTCAATGATCTGAAGCAGGAAGAGTTTGGAGGCTTGATGCAGGCGATTTAGCCGATCCTCAAGCTGCACGAAAAACACACATCAAATTGGTGAGTGGTCTTCTACAAGCAAGCTATAGCAGGAGGGACTAAGCCCATATATGGAACTCTAGGGCCTCTGAGTACCATGATGGAGACTCTGGATTCTCCAAGACTAGGAAATAGAACACAAGATCTGGAGTATTCTTCTAGGCTAGAAAGGATTTGAAGATGGGCTTGGAGATAGGCTGCATGTTTGCTATCTGAGGACAAGTATAAAATTTGAGCTGCATTTTTAGATAGGATGTTTGATGACTTTGCACAATCATCAACAAAGAAGGAAAATATGAAGTCATACAAAATTGATTGTTTAGTTTTGTTTACAGGGACTACAGATTCTCATGGACTGGGAAACTAGCTGTAGAGCAAATTCTTAGCTTAGTCACTCTTTGACAATCAAAATGTCATCTTAATTCAGAGGATAATTCACCATGAATCTTTATTGGAGAAAGAGGAGGAGAGGGAGTATGAGTATGAGGGCTTAAAGGGAAACTTGGTGAAGGGCGAGCGATTCCCTGCTCTTAGTTTCTTTTAAACCATGAGATCAGTGTGGTTTCCAACAAGCCCAAGATTCTATGGGTCCATCATATGCTGTCAACACACCCTTCCCTCCTCCAGGAGAATGAGGTAGGTTTGGCTTACCGACATGCTTCCAGACTTATCCAGAACTAAGCACAGGACCCTTTCTCGGATCTGTTTCAATGAGAAGCTGGGCTGGGGTGGCTGTGCTTCTGTCATGGGAGTGGAAGTCTTGTAGTCTTGGGAATCTTGGATCACTTCCCACGTGCTCCTGAGGTCGCACTTCCGGTTGTGAGCATTTGGAGCTTCTTTGTTATGATTCTTTTCTGTACAAAATTCAACCACCTGAAAAAGCCCAATTCCATGACAAATATGAAAACTATAAATCAGGGCTTCCTAACCTGGGTCTATGAACTAGATTTTGAAAAGACAATTTTTATGCCTTTTTAAATACAATTGGTTTTGTTTGTCATCCTGAGTATTTTATTTTATGAATTTAAAACTTGATTATGAGAAGAGTTCCAAAAGCTTCACTAGAGTACTGAGGGGTCCATGACACAGAAAGGGTGAAGAATCACTTTTGTAAACCATTAATACAATAAATACAGCTAGTAATCCAATGATGATTTAGGGGGGAAAAGCAACTCATTTGAAAAACTCAACACTCCTGGAATTCTAGCCCCTTCCACTGTCTTGGCCAAGTCATTTAACCTTTGTTTCCTCACCTGCATAGTGAAGACATTGAACTAGATAAGTAGATCTTGGGATTCTTTTCTACTAAAATATTGTTGAGGACTCTTCCTCTAAGACGTTGTGTTTATGTTTGTTTTACCTATTTACATTTACCACATTAGAAAGTAAATGCCTTAGTATTATTATGAAATAGTTTAGACCTGGAAGACCCCCCCCCCCAAAAAAAAAGGTCTCAGGGACTACAGGCTGAGTGTGCTTGAACCAACTCTAATTAGCTGTCAAGAGCCAATAGTTGAATTTTCAGTATGAGCATTTATACCTCAGAAATCAGCAAATACTACAAATCATGGCTAGGTTTATTGTTTCACTGATTATCTAGGAGTGACAAACAGGCAGCCCATGTGCTTGGAAAACAGGTAGGGAAATATTCAAAATAAATAAAAACCAACAAAATATGGATAAGATTACATTTTAAAACCAAGTTGTTATACAGGTAAAGGGATCCTTCTGTATGAATCAGTGGGCTTATTTCTATTTCAGTTTGACACACTGATGTAGACTTAAAAAAGTGAAGGAGATAATGTTAAAAATGCAGTTAACACTTAAAAATGTGTCTTGTGTGTAGTTTTTTTTTTCAGAGAGCCAGTTGTTAAACATTTACCAGCATACTTTTTCCCACATTGTTCCTCAGTCCACAAATTCAGAAATGGACTATGTGATTTCCAGATTCCCTTCCACCTAGACTCTTCTCTAAGTCTAGAATTCTGACGTGTGTGTGTGTGTGTGTGTGTGTGTGTGTGTGTGTGTGTGTGTATGTGGGTGTATGTTTTTAGGCAATTGAGGTTAAGTGACTTGCCCAGGGTCACACAGCTAGTAAGTGTCAAGTGTTTGGTCTGAGGCTGGATTTGAACTCAGGTCCTCCTGACTTCAGGGCTGGTGCTCTATCCACTGCGCCACCTAGCAGCCCCCTAGAATTCTGAGTTTGATTTGAGTATGAGCACTTACAAAGGAAAGAGACAATGACTGAAAGCTAGCAGGGGCTCCTGAAGAACCAGTCATGTCAGACTTTGATTCCATTTGTTACCAGCTCACTAGCCAGATAGATCATGGCAACATCTTAGGCAGCTGGATTTCAGAAAAATGTTTGGCTAAGTTTCTTTGGGAAATGTTGAAATGTAGAAAGAATAATAATGTAGCTAGAGGTTCAGCCCTGGTTGAATGATTCCAGAAGTGGTGAATAATGTAGTAATACAAAGGTGTCAATATGGCAGGCTACATGTAGTGGAATGCCACAGGGATATTCTCCTGCTCCTGTTCTATTATATTTTTTTAATCAGTGACTTGGATGAAGTCATAAAGAGTATCTGTGTCTGAAAATCAGATGTTTGTGAAACTGGGTGGGGTAGTGAATACATTGAATGGCAGTATGGAGATCCCCCGAAACCTCAATAGGCAGGAACAGAGAGTGAGGTAAATCCCGTAAGATCAGGAGAAGTGGAGTCCTTTGCTTGGGTTCAAATATCACAAGTACAGAATGGGGAGATGTGTCTAGAAAGGAATGGTTGAAGAGAATAAAAGGAAGCATTTATCAAGTGCCTGCTAGGTGCAAACTTCGGTGCTGAACACCTTATAATTATTACCTCATTTGATCCTCATAGCAACTTTGGGAGGTAAGTGTTGCTATTATCCCCATTTTACATATAAGGAAACTGAGGCAGGCAGAGGATAAATGACTTGTTCAGGGTCACCTAGCCAGGAAGTGCCTGAGGCTGGATTTGAGCTCAGGTCTTTCTGAACTCCAGGCCCAGCGTTTATCCACTCCACTACCTTGCTGTCTCAATGAGAAAAAAATCCTACTGCATGTGTTATTTAGTTGTTTCAGTCATGTCTGACTCTTCCTGACCCCATATGGGGTAATATTGGCAAAGATACTGGTGTGGTTTGTTATTTCCTTCTCCAGCTCATTTTACAGATGAGGAAATGGAGGCAAACAAGATTATGTAACTTGCCCAGAGTCACACAGCAACTAAGTGTCTGAGGTCAGATTTGAACGCAGGCAAGTGAGTCTTCCTGACTCTAGGCCCAGCCCTCTGTGTGCTATGGTACCACGCATTTGCCCTCATGGTTATAGGGAACTGCAAAGTCAGCATTAGGAATCCAGAAGAGAGGCACCATACTCATGGAGAGAGTGTTGGGTTTCTATGCAGAGGTCCTGAGTTTGAATTCTGACTCTGCCACTTGCTACTACGTGATATGAGTCACCCAATCTCACTTAACCTTACTGTTCTTTATATTTAACATCAAGATAGATAATTTGGTCATGATCACTTCTCAAAAGCATGTAAGTTGAAAGAAAAGAACCAATTTAGGAACATGTCTTTATGTATGTGTATACATGTATACGCACATACATGCATGTCATATATATGTGTATATATATATATATGTGTATACACACACACACACACACACACATATATATATGTAAAACAGAAAGTTAAACATTAAAAAAGAGCTATTGAGGCTATCCTGATTCCTCCACTCCACCTTACTTCCAAGAAAGCATTCCCCCTCAAAGCCTCAAATTTGATTTTTTTATTTTAGGGTTTTAGAGGGTATTTTGAGTAATTTCGAGATCCTAAATTCAAAGAGAATGGCCCAGAGTACATGTGTGGGACAGTGGCGTTATGAGAGGATTGGCGTAGTGAAAGTGCCATTCCCTTCTGTTCTCTTCTTTATCCTCAGCCTTCCCTTTTAGAGAAGTAATGGCTCACTAAGGGGCTGCCTCAGTTCATCTGGGCAGATGTTCTGATAGGGGATGTAATGGAAAGAGTGCTGAGCTAGCAGTGGGAACATACACCACTCACTTCATTTCTCCAATTCTGTTTCCCCATGTATGATATAGGAATGACAGTTATGGCAAATGAGGTCATTATAAGCATCAAATAAGAAGGTAGAGGCAAAGTGTTTTGCAGACTTTAATACTAATAAATGCTGTTCTTAGGGTTAGAATAGACACTCTGTCTTCTGTTTACAAATTTCAGAACCAATGATCTAAAATTCTAAATACTTACAGAATCGATGCTTTGCATGAACATGATGGAGGCTTTCTCATTCTGAACTTTATCAGGTACAAATAAACATTCTTTTTTAGGTTTTCCCGTTTTGGGATCTGATCTGCATGTTCCGAATGAACAGCTGCCTCCAGAACATGAATATGCCCTATTTATACCAGTGATAGCTTCAGAACATCTGAAAACATATTAGGATTAGGATTAGATTTTAAAAACATCAACTCATTTAAAACCACCCCAACCTATGTGTGTCCCTCATGTTATCACATTAATTTTTTCTTCATCACAGAGAGTATGTATCAAGCAACCCATTTAGGCAGCAAAGTCTCAGTCAGCAAGACACATTCTATTTGGCAGAGAACTCCTGCAGGGAATTTCAGGTGGGCTTCTTGGAATATCCTAATGCTAGCCTGTCTGCAGGGAGTACCAGGTCAGGTTTACTGGTATCCCTGACTGGGACACAGGGATGGACTCCAGGCTCCTTACTGTCACCTTCATGGGAATTAAGAGGGAATCCTCCTCACTTTTGGCAGCTATAGTAGCTATTCAGTGTTGTTATTGCCACTAAGTTGTGGGGCAGCTAAGGCTCTTCATTTCTATTCCTAAAAATCCAATTTGCTTTCCATTGATCTTTTTCATAAGGTTTATTCATTAGATGAAAAGTGCTCAACAGAGCATCTCTCAGAGCTCTCTGGCCCAGCCAAGCATGTAGAGGAAATAAGGGCACTGCAAAGACTGGTGTCCCTCTCAATTACCTTGCATTTACTTCACATCTTTTTTTTTGTATATAAATATGTATATGTATATGTACATAAGTATATGTATATAAGTACATGTTATTTCCCCCAAGGTCTTTGAGAGCCGAGACTTTCACTTTTCCCTTTGTATCCCCAGCACCTAGGACAGCACCCAGAACATACCAGGTGTTTCATCAATGCTTGTGGATTGACTGATGCTAAACCTTCTGTGAACCCAACAGGGAGAACAATGTAGGTTTCCTGCAAAGACAGGAAGAGAACAGTAGCCTGCACAAGGAAGGATACTGGCATTTTCCCTCCTTGAGAGTTGTAATTGTATTTAAGCACTGAGAAGTAATAGAATGTTGCTTGTGCTTCCTCCTAAAATCATTCAATACCCTGAGGAAATAGACTGATTGTGTATGAGGAGAAAGAGGAAAAGGACCAGGTAGGTCCTTTGGGGCAGTGAGGGTGTGGTATTCTAACATTTGGGGGGTTTCTACTATCTCTGTCAATGTGTACTGCTGATGTCCCGAGGAGGCAGCAGGGACATGTGCTAGGTCTATCTCTCTAAGGGTGGCTTATATCTGAGGCCTTGTTTGCAAGTCTCTCTGTGTTCTGGACATACATAGCAATACCAAAGAGTTGGTCTGTGATGATTTTGTGTCTCAGATTCAGAAAAATTTCTGTGCTTTCATGTAACTGCCTCTGCTTTGAAGTATGCTGGGGTAGGAACCTGTCACATATTATATAAAAAAGGTTATAATGAAATTGATGATACACACAACATTGTTGCAGACTATAGATAAAAAAACTCAATAACCAAAATATTTTAAAAATTAACTCAAGAAAAGACAATTTCAATCTGATGTGGTTCACAAAAAAGTGAAAGGAAGATAATCATACTTCACTGGTACATATTTTCCACCAGACTGGTAGAAACGCTCCTCTTCGTTGTACTCCTCAAACACTCCCCACCGTAAATGGGCCCATTCATGAACTAAAATTCTACCTGTGGAAATATATTTGAAATGCAAAAGTATAATTACTTCTACAATTCAATGGTTCTGTGAGTATTCCCTCAGATCTATGTGGGTATTCCTTTCATCAATGCAGATCTCACCCTAGTCATGCTTTCTTCTCCTGTGCAATTCTTATTCATGGTCTTCCACAGATCAATTGTAGATAATTTACCTAGTATATGGAGGTCTTTCTCCTAGAGCTTTTATATTTCATGACTACCAGTGTGCTATTCAGAATAGCTAGGTGGTACAGTAGATAGAGTGCTGTGTCTGGAGTCAGGAAGTTCCAAGTTCAAATCTGGCCTCACACCTTTACTAGCTGCGTGACCCTGGGCAAGTCTTTTAACCTTTGCCTCATTTCCCTCAGCTGTAAATGGAGAGCCTAAGAGCACCTACTTTTCAAGGTTGTTGTGGGGAACAAAGGAGATGATATTTGTAAAGCATTTAGCACAATGCCTGGCACATAATCATTCATTCATTCATTCGTTCCTTCCTTCCTTCCCTATTATCCCTTACTCTTACTTAAATAATTGGATAGATCTATGATCTCATTAATTCAGTTGTAGTCATCAGTGGTGAAGATTTCAGTTCATCCATGTCTGATCATCTTATGTGTCTCTGGTCCATATGCCCCACATGAGTCTATCAGAGGGAGCCTAACTAACACTCTGAGGGAGTGGATGTTTTCATAGATTTGACATTGTATAGATACCAGTAGGCTACCCCTCTGTTTTCCTACACTCAGAACATTCTACATGGTGTCAGTGTTTTCAGTCCCTTGGGTATTTTGTGTTCTGTGTTGGCCCCTGGTACATTTATTACATTTAATACTAGTAGTCCTCCATGCCTAGAATATCCTCCTTCCTTATTTTTGCTTTTCAAAATCTTTATCTTCCTTTAAGGTTCAGCTCAAGCATTCTTCTCCCTGGTTGCTAATCCTCTCCCTTTCCTCACATTACTCTGTATTATACTTTTCCAGGGACATGTTGACTAGCAATGTGTTGTAGTGGGATGAATATTGGTTCAGAACCAGCTACTTATGTAACCTTGGACATGCCACTTGATGTCCCTGGGCCTTAGTTTCCTCATATGCTAAATGAAATGATTGGATTAGGGGAATGGCTGAACAAGTTGTGGTATATGAATGTAATGGAATACTTTTGTGCTATAAACAATGATGAGCAGGCAGACTTCAGAAAAACTTGGAAAGGCTTGTATGGACCGATGCTGAGTGAAGTGAGTAGAACCAGATGAACACTGTACACAGTAACAGCCATTGTGTTAACTTTGATAGACTTAGCCCTTCTCAGCAATGCAAGGATCTAAGAAATCTCCAAAAGTCTCATGATGGAAAATATTATCCACATCCGGAGAAAGAACTACGGAGTTTGAATGCAGATCGAAGCATACCATTTGCTCCTCTTTTTTTCTTCTATTTTGTTTTGTTTCCTCTTTCTTGTAGTTCCTCCTATTGGTTCTAATTCTTCCTTACAATGTGACTAATGTGAAAATATGTTTAATAGGAATGTATATGTAGAGCCTATATCAGGTTGCACACCATCTTGAGAAGGGAGGGGGGAGAAAAATTTGAAACTCAAAAGCTTACGGAACTAATTGTTGATAACTAAAAATAAATTAATAAAAAATAAAAAAATAAACAATGAACAATCTAAAAAATAAATAAAATAATCTGAATCAAAGGAAGAGTCCTTATGATCCAAAAAAAAGAAATGATTGGACTAGATTGCCTCTAAGGTCCCTTCTAGCTCTAAATCTACAATACCATGAGCCTGTATCTGTCCGTGTCACTCCCTGGTAGACTAGGATGACATTCAGACCACTGAATCTGATCTTTAAGGCCTTCCAGATTCTGACTCCACCTTCCCTCTTTCCTATGACTTCCCTTTGTGCCCTTTCTCTTCCAGTTAAATGGAATAATCCGCAGTTCTCAGAGTTCAGCATGTAATCTCCTGTCTCTAGATATTTGCCAAGCCCCGCCCCATTCCTAGTACTTCCTTCTTATCACCTGCCTTTCAGAACCCTTATCTTCATTCACATTTCAATTTCAGTACCACCTCTTCTGGGAAGTCGTCCTTGATCCCACCACCTATTAGTCCACACTCAGTCTCTTTTGCAATAGTCCTAAAGCTCATTGGCTGACCTCTCTTGTTCGCTCTTTACTCCTTGCTCTGTTTTCTAATTCTCTGTGTCCATCTTGTATCCTTCCAGTACACTGTGGGCTACCTGAGGGTAGAGAATGTTTTATTTTTATCTTTGTATCTTCTATACCTTATGCAGTACCTCACATATGGTAGGTACTTAGTAATATTTGTTGGATTTATTAAAAATCAAATTAGTCCTGTTTGACTCCTATCATTTTAATAACTAGTTATACTTAGATGCCTAAATCCATATGGAGAAATTTTAGATTCTTATGTTCATATTGGGTGTTACACTGATTCATAAAATTTTGATGTGAGAAATACTTTAATTGGATATGTTCTCTAGATGACTGGTCTCTAAGGTAGATGCCCAGACCCCAGGGCAGCTAAGACAGTAGCACAAGAGGTGATCCTCAGTGTTCTAAGGTGGTCCCTCTTCTCCCTCTGTACTATTTCACTTGGTGATCCATCAGACTCCCAAATTTAATTACCATCTGTTTGCTGATGATTCTCAAATGAACCAATTCTGCCCTAATCTCTCTACTGACCTCCAGTCTCACATCTTCAACTGCCTTTCCGACATCTTGAACTGATATGCAGTAGACTTTAACTCAATGTATCCAAAACTGAATTCATTATCTTTTCCCTCATACTCTCTCTTCTTCTTCCTATTATTGTAGAGAGCAATACTGTCCTCCGAGTCCATCAGGCTCACAACCTAGGTGTCATCCAGGATTTGTCCCTCTGTCTTACTCCCAACATACAACCTATTTCCAAGACACACTGATTTCATCTTTGCAGCATCTCTTGAATATGGCCCCTTCTCTCATCTGATGCTTTCAGCACTCTGGTGCAGGCCCCTTATCACCTCATACCTTGACTATTGTAATAGCCTACTGGTGGGTCTACCTGACTCAAATCTCTCCTCAGCCCGATACAACCTCCATTCAGCCACTAAAATGATTTTCCTGTAGCACAGTTCTGATCATGTCACCATTCACGCCCTGTACCTTTCCCTCCAAGCCCTCCAAAAAACTCCAGTGGCTTCCTATCACCCCCAGGATCAAATACAAAATCCTTTGTTTGGTATTCAAAGCCCTTCATAACCTAGCCCCCCCTTACCTTTCCAATCTTCTTATGCTTTACTCCCCAACACATACTGTTCAGTCTAGTGACACTGGCCTTCTGGCTGTTCAACCAACAAGACTCTCTATCTCTTGACTCCAGGCATTTTCTCTGCCTTTTCCCTGTGCTTGGAATGTTCTCCCTTTTCTGCTCTGACTAATGACCTCTCCCTGGCTTCCTTCAAGTCCCAAATAAAATTTTATCTTTTACAGGAAGTCTTTCCCAAACCCTCCTAATTCTTTTGCTTTCCCTCTCTTAATTATTGCTTATTTATCCTATATATAACTTGTTTGTGCTTATTTACTATATATCTTCCCCATTAGATTCTAAGCTTCTTGAGAGCAGGGACTCTTTTTTATATCCCCAGTGCCTTAGCGTGGTTCCTAGGACATAGTAGACATTTAATAAGACCGACCAGAAAGAGCTGGGACCTGACCCTAAGTGGTACAGAATCAGTCAACCTGAGGGTGAGGAGATAGGCCACATCCCACCCTTTTTGCTATAGTTGTATTTCCAACACAACTGTACCTACCTAATCTCCCAAAACTCCCCCATTCTACACTCTCTCTCTCTCTGCTGTTCAAGCTCTCAGCCTTCACTTTGTTGAGCGGGGTGTCAAAACCCTTTAAGCAGTCATAAGCTAAACTAACTACACTACCCACATCAGTTGTCCAGACATCATTGGAAAAATTGTGCCCAAATCCTAATCCCCCCTCCATTTGGGCATAATGCCCAGTGAGTAAGAACCCCACTTCCCCCCTTTCCTTTTTCGGTGGTGCAAAGCCCACATAGGATGAGTGGGGATTGGTCAATCGTATTTTGGCTTGAATATCTTTGTTACATTAGCTTTTCTCCCAAACCAACTTGTCTTTGAAATTCTCCTATTCTTTCTCAGAGATATCAGCATATCCATGTATGCAGTCAGTTGCCATATATTGTTAGTTCTATCTCCACATCTGTCCCCTTCTCTCTACTAACACTGCTGACACTCTGATTCAGACCTTCATCACCTCATATCTAGATTCTTGCAATAATAGTCTTCTGGTAAGTCTCCTGCCTAGCCTTTGACTTCTCCCACTCCAAATGATCCTCCACAAACTCTCAGTGATCTTCCTAAAGTGCAGGTCTGACTATGTCATTCCCATACTCAATAAACTCTAGTGTCTCCCTATTCACTCTAGGATCAAATAGAGATTAATTCTTCTCATCCTTTAAAAATGTCTATTTTATGTAAGTTTTTGAGTGTACATAATTTCTGCAGTTAATTTGCAGTTAAGTACATATCTGCATGTTGAGAGTTATGCTCAAAATTTTTTTATTGATGGGGAGGACAGTCAAAAAACTTCAGAGACCACTGGTCTAAAACATTTCCAAAGGAGAAGTAAAATACTGCTACACACATTTTTAGATGAAAAGAAGGAATGCCCTTGCAATCTTTTTGTCTAATCTGTATTTTCAAATCAAGAGAATCATATTCTGTATATATTGTGAAACCTAAGTTATGAAATATGCTGCAGATATGATGCAATACTATACCTGGTGGTCCATACGCCTCCAACTTTTTCCCCGATATGATGTCGGGAGTTAAATGAATTCTCTCTCCCATCTCTCCACACTGTCCAAACTGGTCAGTTCGTGGAACATCATTGCCTGGGGGATTAGGGACTTCAATGAGGATGTCTGCCTAGAAATATTTTTAAAGTTTTTTTTGTTATGTAGAGCTTAAACAAAACTTGCAATGTTTGGATTGAAAGATTCTGAAAAAATTTTCATTATCAAAGACTTGCATTTAAAAAATTAGGTCACACATAACCTAATGTTTAATAAAGATGTTATTTAATAAAAATAATTCTTAATAAAAAGGAGAGTTTGATGATCTTACATTTTTGTAGGTCTCAAGTTTTGGTGGCTCATAGTCTGGTTTTGTCTGCCATGTCTTAGGAATCAAGATGGATACTCCTTTGAAGTAAAATCTTTTTTCTGTGGCCTCATACAAGTAAGTTGAAGCCTCTGACACCATGTCCTGTGTGGAAAGAAGAAATCCATTAGGAAATCTGACAGCTGACGGAGGGATAAACAACAATCATTTAACTTCACAAAGAAAATTGCTAATAAAAAAAGACCATAGCATTTTAATCAAGTGAAAATGGAGAAATGAGGACATGCTTGTACTGTTCAGTCTGACTTACACTATCACCTCTTTAGTGTCCTGGTCATGCACGCTGTTTAAGAAGAGGCCAGAGTACACACATCCCTCCTCATGGATCCCAAGTACCCTGGAAAGCATTCCAATCTAAGCTTGTCCTGCCCTGTATTTCTTTAAGTTAAACACATACTGGTATAGTATGTATGGAAATCTGAGAATCAAGTGTGTACCATGACAATGTAAGGGTTTTATTAAAAATTGTAGTCAAGGCAGTTTTCAGATGAAGAAATTAAAGCTATCTATAGTCACATGAAAAAATGCTCTACATCAGTATTGGTTAAAGAAATGCAAATCAAAACAACTCTGAGGTACCACATCACAACTATCAGATTGGCTAACATGACAAAACAGGAAAATGAGAAATGCTGGAGAAGATGTGGGAAAATTGGAACATTAATGCATTGTTGGTGGAGTTGTGAACTGATCCAACCATTTTGGAGAGCAATTTGCCCAAAGGGCTATAAAAATGTGCATACCCTTTGACCCAGCAATAGCACTTCTAAAGCTGTATCCCAAAGAGATAATAAAAACTGGAAAAGGATCCACATGTACAAAAATATTTATAGCAACTCTATATGTGGTGGCAAAGAATTGGAAATTGAGAGGATGCCCATCTATTGGGGAATGGCTGAACCAGTTGTGGTATATGAATGTAATAGAATACTATTGTGCTATAAGAAATGATGAGTGGACTTCAGAAAAACTTGGAAAGACTTGTATGGACTTATATGGACTGACGCTGTGTGAAGTGAGCAGAACCAGGAGAACACTGTACACAGTAACAGCCATGTTGTGTGATGACTAACTTTGATAGACTTAGCTCTTCTCACCCATACAAGGATCTAAGACATTTCCAAAGGTGTCATGATGGAAAATGCTATCCACATCCAGAGAAAGAACTATGAAGTCTGAATGCAGATCGAAGCATACTATTTGCTCTTTTTTCTTTCTTCTGTTTTGTTTTGTTTCTTCTTCCTTGTGGTTCCTCCTATTGGTTCTAATTCTTCTTTATCACATGACTAATGTGAAAATGTTTAATAGAAATGTATATGTAGAGCCTATATCAGATTGCACGCCATCTTGGGGAGAGAGGTAAGGAGAGAGGGGGAGAAAATTTAAAACTCAAAAGCTTATGGAAGTGATTGTTGAAAACTAAAATTAATTAATTAATTTAAAAATGTACTCAAGATAATGTTTCTTTAAAACAAATCAGAACTCCAGCATTGTATCACCAGTGAGGTTGGGGCTTTGTTGTAGTGACTTCCATATTTCACTGGATCTGATCTCTTTAATGTGGATTTTCTGTCCACCTGCTGATAGATCCCATCCATGTGAGCCCCTTGTCTGTGCCGTCCCATAAATTCTCTTTGGGATATCCCCCAAAATGGTAGAGGTCTTTCTCTAGTACTCCTCTGGGGGTATGGATAGAACACAGGGACTCTCCACCAGTGTGGTGCCTTTTAAGCTCTCATCATCAATTAGAATAGAAATGGATTGTTTCATTCCTTGTGTTTGTATCCTCAATGCCTAGCACAAAGTAGTACTTAACAAGTGCTTCTCAATTGATTGGCTGTGTGATAGACTCACTTTAATTTCCAGGAATTCATTTTTCTGTTGGTACTGTAGTTATTATTTACATTTGTGGACTGTTAATTATCTAGATTGACTTAACTGAGGCTAAGATAGTATAGTAGGATGGACGATGTACTGGAGTGGGAATCAGGTGTTCTGGGTTCGAGGGTCAGGCCTGTCTTCCTAACACCCTCATAAATCCTGTAATTTTAAACAAGACATTTAACCAGGCTCTCAGTGCTCTCATCTGTGAAATAAGGGCAAATTGCCCTCCTTGCCTCACAATTAGACAGCTTTTCAGGGAGTACAGGCTAACTGGGATTCTTTAAGGGTCTTTGCTAAAACTTTTCTAGCCTTTATCATGAAACTTTGTAGCTTTGTAAGGCAGTGCCAAACCATCCAAGGTTTGATACATGTCCTAGTGGAGTCCTGACATTGTTCTTTCTCCTCCTTTCTCCCCACTAAGGGGCTTTGCTGTTGACAGGATGCAGTTCAATTAAATTCAGTTCAACAAACAGCTTTTAAGTACCTAACATTTGCAAAACACCACTGGGGACCGAAAAATGGCTACAACACACCCTCCATTTAGAAGTTTGCAGCCTAATGGGATGTGGGAGAGGGCAGGAAAGCCATGTATGCGGAGTTATAATGCAAGGGGAAATGTGATAAATTCAAAGAGATGAGGGTAAAGAGTAACTAGTTCTGCTGGGAAATAATCAACAGAGAAAAAGCACTAGAATTAAGAGAGATCAGGAAAGGCTTTCCGTAGAAGCAAGTTCCAGGCATGGGGAACAGCCAGAGAAAGGTACAGAGTTAGGAGACGCAATGTGTCCCTGCATCACAGAGTACACTGAGAGTGAATAAGATGTGAGAAGACTGAGAACGTAGGAAGGAGCTAGGCTGTGAAGGGCCTTGAATGCCAAACAGAGCATTGTGCATTTGGTCTTGGAGGTGACAGGGAGCACTGGAGTTCATGGGGGGGGGTGGGAGGGTGCGGCATGGTCATACCTCTGTTTTAGGAATACCACTTTGACAGCTTAGTGGAGAATGGGTTAGAGTGGAGAGAGACCTGAGGCAGGCAGGCTGGCCATCAGGCTCTCATTGCAAAGTTCAGTCTTCAATCTTATTGAATCTAGGCTTAAATACAAACTCCTTAGCTCTTCATTTGGACCTTTCACAGTCTGTCTCCCACTCTGCCCCTCCTGGCAGAGGCTGGCCATCCCCCTGCCTAGAAGATACTTCCTCCACTTCTCGGTGTCCTCTTACCTGCCACTTCTTTTTTTTATTTTTATTTTTTTATTTTTTCAGTCAAAGACAAGGTTTATTAGAACATCCTTCATATTAGGCAGACTCTTAAGGAGTCTGAATATTAGTAAGCTATTGGCTAGATTTTAAGAATCTAAGCACCTTAATGGAGACAAGATGGACCTTATATACATTAAGACTATGGGAGGGATCTAGGAGTGGCCAAGTAGTCTATGAGGTAATAGAATTCCAGGGACCTGGACCACTCGGCCAAGGCGGGGGGTGGGGGTGGGGGGGGGGATGGAGCCTAGGTAGGATTAAGGGTGGGAGGTGGCCTGGAGCCACAGGGAGGTCCACAACGAAAGACCACTTGATGGGATTATAGCCTAAGGACAACACCAGACATTTGACCTTGTGGGAAAGTCCAGAGTTTTTCCTTTTTTGGGATCTAGATCCCATCCTCATCATTCCCCCCTCAAACAAATGGGACCCAAATTCTTTTGGGGTAAGGGGTGAAGGTGTCAGCTTCTGAAACTACTTCCTGTTGCAAGGGGCATATAGCTTAGTCCCTGCCTTGAGGGGGTCCCACAGAGGAGGTTGACTGGAACCGAGCACAGGCTGCATCCAGGGAACGATGGGGGGACATTGGCTGGTTTGTTTATCAACTGTAGGTGAATGGCCTGTAGTCTGGAAGACACAAATCTGACAGAAAAGACTGCAGGGCCCAATGTGACAGGATAAAACATCCTTAGCTCTGTTTGGATTCAGATAATTAAGTTTCCCAACCATGCAGTATCAAATCAATCTCATAGCCAGACTCAGGAATAGCCAGGTGGGTAACATTCCTTCTCAAAGGAACATAATGGGGAAACTGAGCCAGGAGGATCCCATCTTAGACTGAGGCTAAAATTGCAATCTCAGCTTTTTCCCAGTGCTAACTTCCCACCAGTATCACATTCTCTCAGAGTGGTTTGTGGCATTTCTCAGATTATTGATTATCAATAAATTATTATGATCCATCAGACAACTCAAAATAAAATCCTATGAGAGAGGGTTCTATGAACTATAGACATCAATTCCTAAAACTATCTTGTTACAGGCATAACAGACCTTTAGGAACCTTTCAAGAACCCTCTTTTCCCCTCCCCATGGTTTCCAGTAGTGAATGACGTCTGTGACCAAGGTTGTGTGTTAACACCTAATTAGCATACTTGCCACATAATCCACTACTTTTTCCAAATAAGCTTTAGTATCATTCCTGTTAGGTTGCAAGTTCCCTAAGGAGCTCTGTCCACCATGGCAGGTTCCTTGAGAATTCTTGCCCACGGTATAACATAACAATAAATCTTTGCCACCTCGACTTAAAGAATGCTTGAGTCTATGAGTTCATTCCAGACGACCTTGTCCTATACTCTGGTCCTTGAGGGGTCTAAACCTCTCAGACTGAAGCATCCCCAGCACTTAGCACAGTGCCTGGCACACAATAGGTACTCATCAATGTTGACCAACTGACTGACTGACTGACTGAATTGAAACGAATCTGAGTGGAAAGTATTGGCTTCATGAGCAGGTGTAGGGGGAGACTGAGAGATTTGAGTGGGACTTTGACCCTGCAGACCACGCCTTGAATCCCACCTTGACCACTAGTCTGCTAGTTGGCCAGATACCAAGCTCTCCAGTGAAAGCTGGAGACAGAGCCTAGTGTTCCCATGAGAGTCTGTCACCTGTAGCAGCCTCCCCAATCAGTCCATTTCCTGAAGGGAAGGAGGCACGTGGATGTGCACAAAGGGTCATTTGGGGAGGCAGTGTGTGTGTGTGGGGGGGGGCAAGAGTGGAATTTCCCACAGAACAAGGTGCAGTATGAATTATGAGAATGCAAAAGACTTCTGCCCTACAGAAATCGTTCTCAGCAAATAGAGGAAGGCAAGCCCATCAAATCACCAATATTGGAACAATCGCTTATACCTGTAACTGCCACCTTAGGATAAATTCCTCAGTGGAGGCAACAGTTAGTGAGAGAGAATCTGGTCCTAGCTCTTCCTCCTGGAGTTGTTCTCCCTCTGCTGCATGCCTGGGTCCTAGCTCCCTCTCTCCATCTCTCCCTCTCTTTGATGGGCATTCTGTCCATTCAAACTATGTGGAGAGGGCAGTGCTGGAGAATGCATAAGATTCTTTCATTCCTGACAATCTCTGTTCTGGAGCCGTTGCACAGTTCCCTGTTTTTAGCTAGAATGAATTTGAGTACACAAAAACGTTAAAACGTTAAATCTTTCTATCAGGAGTCAGAATGTGCTCTTCAGTCCCATTCTCTTTTTTTGTTTGTTTGTTTATTTGTTTGTTTTCAGCAATGTCAGTGTCCTATTTTCCCTTAACCTGAAATTTGCAGGTTTTCTCTAGAACAGGGATTCTTAACTGCAGTCCACAGTTAGATTTCAGAGAGTCCCTGAACTTGGATGGGAAAAAAAAATCACATCCTTATTTGTACTAACTGTTGGCTTCTTTTGCAATCCTCTGTATTTTTTATGCATTTAAAAACATTTTTCTGAGAAGGGATCCTGGCACTTCACTAGTCCACCAAAGAGATTCATGACACAAAAAGGTTAAGATTTCCTATAAGAATCATGGGCTAGTGAGAGGTGTCACCCTGTAATTGAAGAAATCCTGGACTGGACATTCAAATTCTGGCTCCTGCTTGACTAGCTGTGTGATTATAGGGAAGTCACTTAGCCTTTCTGGTCCTGCTTCCGTATTTATAAAATGGAGGTTTGATGCTTGAATGGCATTGTTGTTCAGTTGTGTCCGACTCTTTGTGGTCCCTTTTTGGGTTTTCTTGGCAAAGATACTGGAATGGTTTGCCATTTCCCTCTCTAGCTCATTTTACAAATGAGGAAGCTGTGGCAAAGAGGGTTAAGTGACTTGCCCAGGGTCACACAGCTAGGAAGATTCTAAGGCCATATTTGAACTCATGTCCTTTTGACTTCAGTCCTGGTGCTGTAGTCACTGTGCCACCTAACTGCCCTTAAAACAGCATGTAAATGTCAATTGTGATATGAACATCTCAAATGCCTACATTAGGTGACAGGCACTTCTGAAGCATCTGTTCTGTGCCAGGCACCGTGTTAGGTGAAGAGGGTACAAAGGCAAAAAGCTAATAACCTCTGCTTTGAAAGAACACTTGCTACTGATGGAACACAGATAAGTAACTATACAATATTTACAGCGAGTAATTCCAATACTTGTTGGGGGCAGAGGGCAGTGCTCCAATAACTGGCATCTAGCAGGTGAGGACAGCAGAAATTCCTTTGCCCTGTCCCCCTGAAACTAAGATATTCCCTGGTCTCTAGCAGAGAACAGGGAACTATAAGACAGAAGGCTTCTGTGGGTTGTGACAACCCCAAACTGGGAATATGGAATACAAAAACAATGGCATTTCTTGGTGGTAGGGACTGGCAAAATAGCTTACATGACTGTTCCAAACATATTATCTGGCCCATTAGAGTATCCTCTGCCATTGGGAACTCAGAATTTGTCATTAGTAATACTTAGTTACTTCTGAAAAAAGATCTCCTTTCTTACCCTTTAAATTTATCTAATATAAATACAAAAGGCATCAATTAAAAAAAAAGTTTAAAAGGTTCTGTTAGTTTTCTTGCTTGACACCTACTGTCAGTTCCTATGGAGCTTGCGAGCTAATGAGATATCAAGACCCTTTCAAATAAAAAATTGTTAGCAATAAAGATTCCCCCCTTACATGCACAGACGCATTTGAAAATTCAAATAAAACTGAGGAGTAAACATTTAACACCTCTCCTACCTTTATTTGCTGAATAAGATTTTCATCCTCTTCCACATCTGGGTCGATTGCAATGACCACGTCTTCATAGCCATTGTTATTCAGCTTAATGAGGGATGTACCAGCCCCCTGAAGTAGGTACAGGGCCAAAGTTAAAACAAACATTTTAAATGACACCATGACTGACTGTCTATATCCACTTCTTCTTTGGGAAAAGTCCAGTTTAGGAAACTTGTCTCCTGCTGCTATATATATGCTCTTAAAAGTTATTGCCAGTAACTTACCCAGGACTTTGAGCTTGTTTCTAATAAAATATAACTTTGTTATCATTAGTCAGAAACAACTCACTTCAGTAGTACTTAAAAAAGCTTGCTTATGGCCATCATAAAGGAACATAGTATAAAGCAAATAGTTGTTTTATACATCTATATGATATGTAGGGAGAAAGGCAGCATGATAGAATGGAGAAGAAGCTGACCAAGGAGCTAGGAAGACCTGGGTTCAAGTCCTGACTTTGACACATAATGCCTGTGTGGAACAGAGAAGTCATCTCACCTTTCAGTGTTAGGCAGATCTTTAAGACTATAAGTCATAGAGAAGGTGTCAACCTACATTAGCAGAGGTAATTTTCTCATCTGGGAGTTCTTTTTTTTCAGTGAGACACCAGGTCCAATCCTTCTCTCTCTCTCTCCCACTCTCACACACACACATCTATGTATGTGTATGTGTACATATGTATGTATGTCTTTCATATGTTTGCCAGATGGCAAAACATTGTTCTTAACTATGAAAGCTGATTTCTTAAGGACATAAGTATATGGATGTGTTCTTTAGGTAGGAATTGTATGAATGTAAAATTATTTCAGTGTTTGAAGCATTTGTGTTTTCTTAAATGTGGGTACTCTCTTCACAAGTTTCGAAAACCTCTTCATTTGGAGGTTCTTAACTTGAGGTCTGTAAATTTTTTAAAAAGTATTTTAATGACTGTATTTCAATATAGTTTGTTTCCTTTGTAGACCTATATATTTGTATGTGTGATGGGCAAGGGTTCATCATGTAAAAAAAGAAAAGTTAAGAAATCCTGCTTTTGGAAGGGATCTTTGTGAGTTGCCAGAGGCCAGAAATTTTATCAACTTGGAGCTAACTAATAAATGAACCTGAGGCTGGTTCTCAGAAAACAATACATCCAGTCTACCAATTGGCCCTAGCTCGAAGCCTTTCCAGCTTGGTAGAACCTGCCACAGCTTACACTGTACTGACAATGTACTTTTAAGAGCTCAGGGTCATCAACTCCATGCATGAGAAATCAGAATGTGACCTTGGTGGAGATTTATTATCATTGTTAAAATAAAGATGATGATAAAATTTAAAAGTATGAACTTTATTTTTTTTAAATCCCAAGAGTTTATTGTAAATCTACCACTTTACACGTCTGGTAATAGAATAGTATGTATATTCATTACAATACTAATGACCTCTAATGTGGGCAGTAACTTGGGAAATTAAACTACAGTGTAAAATGCTTATGATAATGCAGTTTTAAATGATTTTGATAAAGTGGGAAAGATAATTGATAATAATACCGACAATCATAATTATAACAACAATAATAACTCATATCTATGTAGTACAGAGATTCTTAACCTGTGGTCCATGGATGGATTTCAGGGAATCCGTAAATTTAGATGGAAAAATAAATGACATCTGATAAAGATGTACTACCCTGCACCTGAAATTTTATATTTCCTTTAGTTATTTAAAACCATGATTCTGATGAGTCCATAGTTTTTTTTTCTAACCAGATTGCCAAGGGGCCCAAGACACAAAAATGTTCAAGAATCGCTATTAAATAGATACCACTTCTTCCATATCCTTTACTCTTCTTATCCTGTTGACTCCTCACCAACAGCCCAGGAGGTAGGTGCTGTTATTCATTCCACAGACATTCATGAATCATTAAGTACCAGTTCCACCCTATGCCCTGACCTAGGTGAAAGGTATGGATAGAAACTCACAAAAGGCCCTTCTCCGTGCCAAAATAGGATCATAAAAAGAATCATGAACATAAAAAGAGGGAGAGAAGAAAGTAGAGTCAGGAATCAGCCTCACTGGTCAGGAGGTGATGGCAGACATTGGACTTCTTTGTTTGAAGAGGGAGTCATATAACCTTGAGTGAGTCAGCTTAAGTTTGATGTCAAAGCATGCATTCTGACCTGCCCTTGCCAGTGCCTGTTAACCTATTACCAGCCTGGCTTTGCACTACAGCTTCACCATTCACTGTTGTTCCTCCTGGCCTCTGTCTTCACTGTCAAACCTCTGCCCACCAGGACAGTAAGTGCCCTAGAGCTGAAGGCCCTAGAACTGACCTTCAATCTTAGGTCAGTTGATGACTCATTGTGTGACTTTGTACAAGTCATTTAACCGTTGCTCATCCACATGGATGGGGTTCAAGGTCCTGTTCTTCTACTGTTTCCATTAGCTACTGCTGCCAGAACTTTTGACAGTTGGCCAATTAGATGCTGAGAACGACCCAAACCAACAAATGAAACATATGTTAATTTCTTCATTAAGGTTATTTATAAACCATATAGAACCAGGAGATATATGGAATATGAGGAACATTTCTAACTCAACACAAATATGTAAATCCATTGAAAAACAGATTTGAGAGTTGAGAATATACTCTTTAGTACCACCCCGTCGTTGTTGTTCAGTCATTTTCAGTCACATCTAACTTTTTGTGACCTCATTTTTTTTTTTTTTTTGCCAAAGACACTGGAATGGTTTGCTATTTCCTTCTCCACCTCATTTTACAGAAGAGGAAACCGAAGTAAACAGGGTTAAGTGACTTGCCCAGGGTCACACGGCTAGTAAGTGTCTGAGGTTGGATTAGAACTCAGGTCTTCCTGACTTCATGCTGCCTCTCTATCTATTGAACTATCTAGCTGCCCCTACCCCCTACATGACGTGTGTATGAGGTGTTCGGGGGGGACTAGCACCTCTGGTGTGAGGGCTTGCCAAGCCCTTTTCAGGGCTGCTTATCCACCTTTGGTGTCCAACTGGTCACCCAACTCTTACCTGTGGCTCCAAGAAGCTGTACCGGCCACACCCTGGTAAAACCGTCTTGGTAGACAGGCTAAACCAAGTGGAGGGTAACCAACAGGCCTCAAGCTCATCTGTGAGATAGGGAGATGTCTATCCCAAGCATGTGAAGACTTCCCTTGGCAGAATAGGCAGATGCGAACAGTTTGTTCAAATGGCCATGAAGGTGGCTGAAGCAGGCACTTGGATCTTGGTCAGACATTGAAGACACCAAAATTTTCTGCTGCATCCCGGGCCATTGTCAGTTGTTTTGACTTTTGTCCTGCCATTGGACTTAACTGACTGTGGAACAGTGAACCTGACAACTTTGTGCAACTCTGCCTCACTTAAATCCAATTCACGAGCAAGTCAGGTCATCACCCTGTGATGTCATTGGTCCTCTTTGAAAATGAAGGACGAACAACAACCACCCCCTGCATGTACAAATACGTGTATTCTAGTGAGGAAAATGGAACTGGAGCAGTCCATCCCCTAGACCCTGCTGGCTTGCAGGACCGCACTAACAGCTTCTAGAGCTAAAAGAAGCAGGGGAATGGAGAGGGAGAAAAATTGGGGAGACCTTGCTGACAAGGGTCTATAGGAGGGTATCCTCTCCTTGCTCTCCTCCATGCCAAGAGTGCCAAGCATGTTGAGCCTTAAAACTAGAGAGGCAGCCAGGTGGCCCAGCGGAGAACATTCTATCTCATGGGGTTGTTGTGAAGACCAAATGAGATCGTGTGTTTCATTTTTTATTATACAAAAGTATTTTGCAAACGTTAAAGTGCTATGTAAATACTAGCTATTGTAGTCATTTTTTTGGGGGGGGAGCAAATAGCAAGTTTATTTGGTGAAAGCAGAGAGCAAATAGGCCAAAGAGGACATATGGTAGGGGTTGGAAGTAAGAATGTTGGTAACCCTGAAAATGTAGTTAGTTACTTCAGGGACAAGAGGATGATTTTCCACACTGAGAAAGTTAGGGGGTTCATTGTGGAAAGGGGAGTTGTTCTCAGCCATTCATCACCGTCTGGAGTAGCTCTTCATACTTGATCCAACCATTGATGTCGTCATACCCTACCCTGCAGTCGCTCAACTGCAGTACTAGAGGGAGTTTCCACACTAGCATTTCTACGTGCTAGCAAAACAGGTAATCTGGATCATGGATCATGGATCCCTCCATGCCTTCCCCAGCTCCCAAGCTTATGTTTTAAACAAGTCATCTTTTAATACACCAACACTGCTACTTCTTCCTCTGTCATTTTCTTACCCAGGGTGATGAGTATTTCGGCCCCTGTGACTTTGCTGTTCCCTTCTTTATCAAACACCCGAAGCCCTTCTACATAGTCTTCATATGTGCCCTGGTCCTTATTCTTGGCTACCATCTGCAGCATTGGCAGAAAGTGTTCAAAGTCCAGCACCTTCACATTCATCTCATCACTCTTGGGATTCCCTAAGACCTTGAGCACCTCAACATTGGTAGGGTTCTGGCCCAGGGCTCGAATCGTGTCCCCACACTAGCAGTATAAGATCTTTCCATCCCCTGTTTGGTCAAGCAGCTGGAAGGCTCCTTGAACTCTGCTGTCTGATCTTCCTTGAAGTTACACATTTTGACTGTGCAGCTCACTCACTAGTTCTGCTGCTGCTGTATGTAATGTAATCATTGTTATTATTAAGAAGGAGGAATTTGACTACCTGGTGCAGAAGAGGGAAAGAGGAAGAAATTGATGCTATCCACCTCCAGAGAAAGAACTGGTGGAGTCTGAATGTACCTTGAATCATACTTTTAAAAACTTTATTATTCTTGTTTCATTTTCTTTTTCAGTCTATTTTCTTTTGTAACATGTTTTGCATCACTGCACATGTATCATCTATATAAAATTGCTTGCCTTCCCAAGGAGGGGGAGGGAAGGAAGGGAGGGAGAGAGAAAATTTTTAAAAACTTATGTTAAAATTTTTTGTTTATGTGTAATTGGGAAAAAATATAAATAAATAAAAGAAGCAGTTGAGAACTGTTGTTTGTGGAGAAGAGGAAAAAGAAATCAGAGCAACACATAGCCATCCGGCTCTGGGCCTTCAAAATGGAGGAAAAGAGAACAAGACAA